CTGCCACAACAGGGCGGGGATAGATTCCTCAGCTCTGTGTAAGCTCCAACTTATAATTTGGTGCTCCCCACTGATGAGTGTAGTGGCGGGGCAATGAAAAGAACATAATTATATGATGGCGGGGAGTGGGGAGGTTAAAAACCTGTTGCTTTCCTCTGTATATGGGCAAATCACAGGTTCACGCTAAGCAAGTGCTTCCATTCTAGGTTCATTTGATCTAGTTTCTTTATCATTGCAAGAGAGAATGATAGGATGGATTAGCAGGTAAAATTCCACTTATTATATGCATCCTGCACCAAGATATGTTCATGCAACATTGACAAAAATCTACTTTTTACAGAGATTGACACAACTTTCTTAAAGCAATTGTAAATCTTTGCTTTTTTGTTCATCAAAATAACAAACATGTAATACTTACCTGCTGTCTGCAGCGGTTTTGCACAGAGCAGCTGCAATCCTTTTCTTCTCGGGTCCCCTGCTGGCACTCCTGGCTCCTTCCCCCACTGAGTGCCCACCATAGAAACCTGCTTTCTATTGTGGTGACGTGTGCAGTCTTGCTCCCGAGCCAGTATGTTTGCGTCTGTTCAGACACACAGCCTGATTCAGCCCAGTCCCTCTGCTCTGAGGTTTTTGACTGACGGCAGCAGGAGCCAATGGCTCCCGCTGCTCTCAGCCAAGCCTGTGAGAACTGGGAGAGAGGAGAAGAGCAGATGTGCTCAGTGCTGGACCAACATCAGGCTCAGATGAGTATATGGGTGGTGGGGGGGGGGGTTGCTGTGGGGGGAACTGCATGTAAAAGGTTTTTATACCTTAATGCAGAAAAATGCATTAAGGTAAAAAAAAAATACCTTTTACCTTTACAACCACTTTATGGAAACTTTACTTGGAAAAGTGTGTACTGTTGATAGTGTCATAAGTGAAATTAAAGAGACCCATGCCATATCGTTTACTATGCTATCTACTAGTAACTGTGCAAACTCCTGTTTTGTTCTCTTTATTGTTCCCTCTCTCATATCATTCATTTATATCAATCCCTAGAAAGCAGCTGTGAAAACTTTGTATAAAAGTTACCTTTAGAAGTCAGGTCTGCAATGCCTGTGTACAGTACGTTTGCCCAAGTAGACTGACCTTTTGCCCTGATTTGCTGGAATTATTTTTTTTTTTCTATTGGCTGAGGTCAAGAATTGTCAAGGAGCTGTGACATTAGAGAGCGAGAATTAAGGAGCTTATAAAAGCCTTTACATAAGTTACTGTTAACTAAAGTAGAAAGAACAATCCATGGTGCACTTTAGCATCGTTACAGTATCCCAGTAATACATTTCCCCTTGGTATAGCCTATGAGCCTTTTAAGGTCCCCTTTGCCCTTTTTGTATTACTGCATACACTTTGCAATGCAGATGTATAAATGTGCATTGCTTTAACACAGCCCAATAATTTTGAATAAGCTGCCAATGCACCATAATGAACAAGAAAATATCTTTTGTACTGTTTTTGTATCACAGCGCAGCATAGTACCCTGCATATGCTGGCAGATACTTTTGCGCATTTGTGTACCATAATGGAACCACAACACACCACACAAAGTGCCATCAATTTGAATTCTACAGCGCATTACTGCAAAGCTGTGAAGTCAGCCTTAAGCAATACTAAAGTTTCATTTTTTGTTTGCAAAATAGCAAACATATTATACTTACCTGCTATGTGCAGTGGTTATGCACAGGGCAGCCTGAATCCTCCTCTTCTCGGGTCCCCTGCCGGCACACCTGGCTCCTCCTTTCTGTCGGGTGCCCTCATAGCAAGCAGCTTGCTATGGGGGCACCCAAGCAGGCGTGTTTCCAAGCCACTGCTCCGTGTGTCCATTCACACATGGAGCCGCAGCTTGGCTCCACCCCCTCTCCTCATTGGTTGACTGGCTATGATTGACAGCAATGGCTCCCAATTGCTGTCTCAGCCAATGAGGAGGCAGAGACCTGGGACAGCCGAGGCTGTTGTGCAAATCGATGGATCGTGATGGGGTTCAGGTAAATATTGAGGGTGCTGGCGGCACTGCTGCACACAGAAGGTTTGCATGAAGGTAAAAAACCTTGAGCCTTTACAATCACTTAGGGTCAGGATGGAGTATACAGACTAGGATGGGTATTTGAAGAAGATTCTTTCACATGGGTGGTCAAGGGGCAGTAAAAACAGGCGGCTGAGCTGTGGTTTTACCTTTTCCTTGTCCACCCACCTAAAGGTTAAAATACAGACGGAGAAGGATGTTCAAACATGATATGCTGAGTTGACAGGTGGCAGCACCTGTCAAACTAAGCCATTCAAATCAGTTACAATGCATTAGTTCCATTATAAATGGAAAAAAAAAAAAATCCAGGTATTTAGGAGGAGGCAGGACTGCCTTCTATATCCCTTACCGCAGTTTGAGAAGCGATACACTGCAAACCACTTTTCAGAGCACTGGCTAATGTGAACCTTGCCTAAAACTGGCTGAATATGGATAAAAATCCAGCCAGTTCAGCAGGATCCATGTATAACCATTACTATTCGAGAAGGGTTGATTAGTGAGAGCTGCCTGGAAGCTTGGAACCTTTGAGCCATGCTGCATAAAAGACATGACTAAGGCTAGGTTCACACCTATGCAGTTTGCTTTTTGCTATGTTTTTGATGTGTTTTTGATGTGTTTTGCGTTATTTTTTTTCTTGTTACTAGACAGATTTAAAATGTATAAAAAAACGCAGTAAAAAATGCAGCAAAAACGCAATACATGCACTTCTGCAGCGTTTCCATTGAAGTCTATAGAGAACCAAAAATGCAACTTTTTGCGTTCAAAAAGTCCCTGACCCTTTCCAAAAAACACACCAGGTGAAAAAGCACAGATGTGAACATGTCCCATAGGAAACATGTCAAATGGACTGTACTGCGTTTTAAAATTGCAAAATTCTGCAGAAAACGCTTAGGTGTGAACCTAGGGTAACTCTGGACTCTCATCTGGCTAGTAATCCAGGTCTTAGTTGGACTGCTGAACCGGGTACTTTTCTTATCAAGAAATAAACTGACTTTTGTTTTTTGTTTTTAATTAATTATTTAATGGTATGCTGCAGAAACAATACAACATGCTAACTTTGCGGAATACACAGGCAATCTAGAACACCAATTACAATATCCAAGAACAAATACAATGCTCCATGAACAAAACCGTCTGATAACAGAGCAAGGATGAGGCGGTGAATGGACGATTGTCCAACAAACTGACTTTTAATAGTTAGCAAATGCCCTATGTGCATTTAATGTTACAGATTCTCCTGAATTTTACAAATGATTTAAATTAGCTGCAGAAGAGTAGAAACGTACGCTATCGCTAAACTGATAATCTCTCTAGTCTGTGGTGTATGCTGGGAAGTGGATGCTGTGATATATTTTTTTTGCACGTAGCCCAGTGAGCATACCCTTTGAAGCTGACTAGAAGACCGTTGTTTCTTGCAGACATGTAAAAGGCAAGGTGTTGTTTTTTCTTCTGATACTTGCTTTTTTAGGTGGCATGCTGTCTCTATCAAAACAGGGACAACACTGTTACTTTGTATTAGCTTAGGTAATGATTTTTGTTTCACACTAGATAAGTTAGTTATTACTACTGTATGAACTCTATATGCAAATATCATTCTAATTATTTTGCAGAAAGACTCATGAGCAAAGATATAGTATGAAGAAACATGATCACAATAGCATATTACGTGGTCTAATACTCAATTTGACATTAAAGTGTTACTAAACCCGCAAAAGTAAAATCAGTCTGTATATGCAGTAAAGTATGCTTGTTATGCTCACTGTGGTGGAACCTAAGGGGTTAATTCCTTGCATTGTGTAAAAAGGCTGTTTGATCCTTTCTTCTCTGTTCCTCCTCTTTTTCAAGCGACCACCTCTTATCTCCTGATAAGACAAACTGAACTAGCTAGAGAGGTTTTTTTTTTTCTTGGGAGACTGCATGTGATCAGCGCAGGGCCAATCAGCACTGGTCAGACAGAGGTCAGGGGTTTTGCATCCTCAAAGAGTAGAAAGAAAACTTCTCCTACAAGCTTTAGATAGTGCTCTGCTGCACATTGATAGAAGCCACAAGACTGCTCTAACTGCTGATGAAAAAAGGTATTTAGCAGTTTATATTTTACTAAAATAATTTAATTTCCATGTTCTGTGTACTGTGGGAGACCGGATTTAGTGGATGCAGAGTCCTGGATTTAGTAACACTTTAAAGAGAAGTTCCAGGTATGGATAATTTATACATAGTTACATTGGTCCAGCTTTTACCAGTGTAACTGTCTATGTACCATACCTGGCCAATCCGAAAATGGAAATCACTGAACTTGACATGTGATCTCCACTAGCTTCTGGGCCCCTTGCTGAATAGCTGTTCTGCTACATTCTGAAGACGGGGTTGGCTGCTCAGCACAGGCTCCATTCAGAAAATGCTTTGTATTTGACTGCAAAGCATTCTCTGACTGACAAGGTGGATAGCTTGACATCACTGCCCTGCCTCTCCACCTCATCCAAACAGAGAACACTTTTCATTCATTGAGAAACTGCAAGGCCTCCTCTGAATGGCGCTGGTGCCCTACAGCTGACTTCCTGTGTTCAGAATGCAGTAGAGCAACCACTCAGGTCAAGACCTGGAAGGAAGTGAATATGACTGGAGTAGCAGTGTGTCTACTTCAGTGATTTCCAGCTTCCAGGAGCATGGTCCAGGTATGGTATAAACATTACATTGGTCAAAGTTAAAACAATGTAACTATATAGAAAACATCCATACCTGGAATACCTCTTTAACCGCTTGCTGACCACCCACAGTACTTTTACTGTGGCAGGGCAGCTCCGCTGCGCAAAATCACGTATATATACGTGATTTTCCATTTCCAGGTATGCGCGAGGCATGCGACCGCCCTACCCATGTCGTCGATCGTGACCGCTGGTGTCAATAAATAGGTCCTGGCCGGTGATTACCCGTCGGAGCCCAGTGATTACCGGCAAACACTGACAGGGAGGAGAGCTGCATTGTTTACAATGCAGCCCTCCTCCCTGTCAGTTTGGGCACACTGATCGGGAATGCTGAGCACAGCCATCCCGATCAGTGTGCTTACAGTGAAGCACAGACCCCTGCCCCCTAATAAAACACTCCTATCATACAGTTAATCCTTTGATTGCCTCCAAATGTTAACCCCTTCCTCGCTAGTGCCATTAGTACAGTATCAGTGCTTTTTTTTGCACTTATCACTGTATTGGTGTCTCTGATCGCTGCCATAAGTCACTGATCGCCACCATTATTAGTATGAAAAAAAAATTTCAGTATCTTTACCGCCATTTGTAAATGCTATAACTTTCACGTAAACCAATTAATTTACCCATATTGAGATTTTTTTTAGCAACGACATGTCGCAGAATACATTTTGGCCTAAATTTATGATGAAATTTGATTTTTAAATTTTTTTACTGGACATATTTTATAGCAAAAAGTCCAAAATATTGTTTTTTTCTCAAAATTGTCAGTCCTTTTTTTTTATACCGCAAAAAATAAAGAACACACAGGCAATCAAATACCACCAAAATAAAGTTCAGTGTGTGGGAAAAAAAGAACGCAAATTTAATTGGGGTGCAACATTGCATGACCTCGCAATTGTCAGTTAAAGTAATGCAGCACCGTAACACAAACCGCTTCTGTAACCACTTCCTGACTGCCCTATAGCAGAAATACTGCTACAGGGCGGCACGAAGTACAAAATCACATATATATGCGTGATTCGTGCTCCCATGGTTTTCAGATCAGCACTATACCAGCGTACACATTAGTATAGTGTCCCCAAAAACTCAGCATTAGCGGGATCAGCCCTGGCACCTGTCAGCACCTGCGTTTAGCCCCTACGCTTACCCCCCCCTTCTCCCCCAGCAAGTGCAGTGTCAGTAGCTCACTGTCACTTGATACATTGCACACAAAACCGCAGTGTTGGCAGAATCAGCGTCCATACTTCCCCCATTCACTGCCCAACCCAGAATTCAGGTGGAAACAACAAATTTAACTACTCCCCTTTTTTTTACTCTTTTACTTACTCTTCCAATTTTTTGGAACTGTTTTTCACGGAATATCTGTATGCATTGATTGTGGATCAAAGCAATTTACAGTATATGCACAACAATTTATCACCGCCAACCCAAATTCAAACCTTGCCAGACCATTCACATGGAAACCCATTCCGATTTCCAAATTTAATTTTTTTTTTGGCCTAACCCTCAACATGGGCGTTACTAAAAAATAAATTGTGGTTGTATTGGTCCACAGACCCCATTCATCATATGCCCGTGTTCTCTGCTGTCATGGCCAGGCATAGATATGAGAGTATATTGTGTTTTATGCATTTCAGTGACAACACATTCTGTCCTCCTTGGGGTGACCCTGAATTTGACCGGCTCCACAAAGATTGGCCCCTCTTAATTCACCTTAACCAAAAATTTGCAGATGTCTATACTCCCCAGCAAAACATCTGCGTTGATGAGTCCCTCATGAATTTTTACATTCAAACAATTTTTCCCCAGCAAGTGTGCCAGATATGGGGTCAATATGTATAAGACCTGTGAGAGGGCAACAGGCTATACATATAAGTTTCTGATTTAGGAGGGAAAAGATAGTCACGTGCAAACCCCCCGGATGCCCAGACTGCATGAGGAGTAGTGGCAAGATAGTTTGGGACTTGGTTTCATTCTTTTTCCATATGGGGTACCACTTATACGTGGCCAATTTTTATTCAAGTGTGCCACTTTTTAGACATTTGTACAATCTTGGAATTGGCGCATGTGGAACTGTGTGACCTAATGTGTGCCCACCATTAGAAGTGGGTGGATGCAGAGCGGTATATTCTAATGGTGCGCGTACCACACACTTTTTCTGGCAAGGATTTCTTCTTTTTTCTTCATTCAGCCCACATTCTGCATAAAAAAAAATGAACATAGCATATATACCCAAGAAGGACCAGCGACGTACTGGTACATCACTGGACTTTGGTTATACCAGGATGATGTCTATGGCTGCAGGCATCATCCTGGTATCATGTTTTTCAGCCAGTGATCGTCTTTCATGTAAAAGGAATTCTAGTAGCTAATTAGCTGCAGGATTGCTTTTACAAGCAGCGGGAGACGATCCCCCCCCCTTCCCCGCTGCCTTCTATGTCCTTCTCGGGGCAGTCCCGTGCCATTGGGGGAACCTGAGAATTCAGCCGGTGTTTCTGCCAGATGACCATAGAGCTGATTGGAGACTGGAATGGTGCCAATTTATTATTATTATTATTGCACAGGATTTATATAGCGCCGACAGCTTGCTCAGCGCTTTACATTATGGATGGAGACAGTACAGTAACATTACAGTTCAATACAAGAGGGATTAGAGGGCCCTGCTCCTTGGAGCTTACAATCTAGGAGGGAGGGGATAGTGGTACAAAAGGTAAATAACTGTGGGGGATGGAGTGGTTGGAAGAGTAGAGGATTCCAGTATTAGCTGGGGGCGGGGTACTCTTCCCTGAAGAGATGGGTTTTCAGAGTGTGCCTAAAAGTGAGCAGAGTAGGCTACAGTCTGATAGATTGGGGTAGGGAGTTCCAGAGGATGGGAGAAGCCCTGGAGAAATCCTGGAGATGAGCATGGGAGGAGGAGACAAGGGAGCTAAAGAGTAGGAGGTCTTGCTAGGAGCGGAGAGTACGGTTTGGGTGGTATTTAGAGACAAGATCAGTGATGTAATGGGACAATGTTATGAATGGCTTTATAAGTCAGTGTTAGTGTTTTGAATTGTATCTGTTGGGCAATTGGAAGCCAGTGGAGGGATTGGCAGAGAGGGGTGGCAGATACAGAATGGTTAGTAAGGTGGATGAGTCTGGCAGCAGCATTCATGATAGACTGAAGAGGGGATAGCCTGTGATGAGGTAGGCCAATGAGGAGGGAGTTACAGTAGTCGAGGCGTGATATAACAAGGGAGTGAATGAGTTGCTTAATGGTTTCCGAGGTTAGGAACGGGTGTATCTTGGAAATGTTGCAGAAGTGAAGTCTACACGAGTTTGTCAGCGATTGGACCTGGGGCTGAAAGGACAGATTAGAGTCTAGGATTACACCTAGTACCCTGGCATGAGGGGTGGGACTGATAATAGTGTTGTTGATCTTGATGGAGAAGTCAGGGGGGGGGGCACGGGCTGGAGGGAATACTAGGAGCTCAGTTTTGGAAAGATTGTCCAATCATCTCTATAGTCTAAGAAATCGGAAGCTACAAGCATTTCATCACTTCAGATTCGCAGGATATAAACAGCGCCATTTGTAAATTGGGAAAGCATCTGATCACACAGATTTTGGTTTGATTAGATAATGTAAGGGCAGAGGAGATATCCAGAGTCTGATAGACCCCAGATTTCTCAAAAAATATATGACAATGCCCATTGAAGTTATAGGGGATATTTGCATTCCCTGTGATAGATTAAAAGTGATAAAAACATGAAAGGGACAGTGTAAAAATAATAAAAAAAAAATCAAAATAACTTTAAATCAAAATAAAATAACACCCTCGCCACACACCATGCACGCGCACCTGCATGCACAAGCATTGACCCTGTGCCGGTATGTAAACAGCAGTTGCACCATGCATGTGAGGTATCACCACGAACGTCAGACCAAGGGCAGTAATTCTAGCACTAGTCCTCCTTTGTAAATCTAAAATGGTTGCTTGTAAAGGCTTTTAAAGCGTTGACTATGGATATTAAAAATGTATGCAGTTTGCCGCCATTGCACGCGGCATGCGCAGTTTTAAAGCATGTCATGTTTGATATCCATTTACTCTGCATACTATCATCTTTTATATCTTACAAATAATTGGCCAATATATTGTGTTTTTTTGTTTATTAAAAGTACAAAAAAGTGTATTTTGTGCAAAAAAATCTGCGTTTGAAAAATCGCTGCGCGAGTACTATGTGACGTAAAAAATTGCAGCACCCACCATTTTATTCACTAGGGTGTCTGCTTTAAAAAAAAAAAAAAAAAAATAAAATATATATATATATATATATATATATATATATATATATATAATGTTTCGGGGTTCATAGTAATTTCCTAGCAAAAAATACTGAATTTTTTCATGGAAACATTTAGATTTTTCTTATTTTTACACCGTCCCTTTCATGTTTTTTTTTTATCACTTTTAATCTATCACGGGGAATGCAAATATCCCCTATAACTTCAAAGGGCATGGTTATATATTCTTTTTTGAGAAATCTGGGGTCTATCAGACTCTAGATATCGCCTCTGCCCTTACATTATCTAATCTCACCAAGATCGATGTGATCAGATGCTTTCCCAGTTTACAAATGGCGCTGTTTATATTCTGTGAATGTGATGAAATGCTTATAGCTTCCGATTCCTTATAAGAAAAGGCTTGGTCTTCAGGTGGTTAGAAGAGTGAATGATGTGTGGCATAAACTTCTAATGCTGAGCACAAAAATGCCCCCCCCCCCCCCCCCCGAAAACGCCCCTTTTGGAAAAGTAGAAACCCCAAACTATTTGCTGAGAGGCATGTTGAGTCATTTGAATAATTTATTTTTTTACCACAAGTTTCTGGAAAATGACAAAAAAAAACATTTTTTTTACACACAATTGTCTCTTAAATGTATGTGGCTAGGCTCCCAAAATGTCTCACACATGTGGTATCCCCATACTCGGTAGAAGTAGCAGAATGTATTTTGGGGTGTAATTCCACAATATATAAATAAATACATAAATAAATATACCCATGGCTTGTGTGAGAAATATACTGTATCATTTAAATGACAACTTTGTGTAAAAAAAAAAAAAAATGTTTTTGTGATATTCCAAAAACTTGTGGAAAAAAAATAAATCTTAGATGGACTCAATATGCCTCTCATCAGATAGTTTAGGGTGTCTACTTTCCAAAAAGTTGTCATTTGGGGGTGTTTGTACTATCCTGCTATTTTAGCACCTCAAGAAATGTGATGGACAGTCAGAAAGTAAAAGCTGTATAAATTCCATTATCTATACCATAGTTTGTAGATGCTATAACTTTTACACAAAGCAATCAATATACACTTATTGGGATTTTTAACCAGAAACATGTAGCAGAATACATTTTGGCTTAAATTTTTGACAAAAGTTTAGTGTTTTTGGATATTTTTTATGACAGAAATGAGAAAATATCTTTTTTTTTTTAATTTTTCAAAACTTTTATGTTTATAGC